GAAGGACTGCCGAGGCCCTTGCCTTGCTCCCCTCCGGGAGGGCTCTGTGCTTCAGCCTCCCTCAATCTGAGAACAGCTCCATCCAACTATCAGGCAACCTCTCAAGAGCTCAAAGGGCCAGAGGCAAGGGAGACGGGATGGAGGAGGGGGCAGGTTTGTGGTGATCTACAAGGCTGTGGAGAAGGAACCCCAAGGTTCTGACTCCCAACTTGGGGCCTTTGCAACTGGCTCTTCTTGTCGCCACCTGAGCATGGAAGCTGGCCAGACCCTCCTCCTCACCATACCAGTGACTGTTCTCATCCTGGTCCTGGAACATGCCCTCTTGGTGGCCAGATGTGGATCAAAAGGCAAACTAGACGTTTTCCTTTTCCTTTTTTAGTGCCTCCCGCCACCCCCTCCGTCAGCACCCCCCTCCTCCAAGAAAAACACACACAACAAAAGCCACGTCCCTTCTCCATGGCTTGCCTTGGCGGGGAGGGAAGAAACTGTCCGGAACTACAAGGCCCTTCTCCTAGAAAAGAGAGTAGTCAGGTGCAGATTCGTGTGGGGAACTCGGCCTCTAGTCAGCCACGCTGATGACTCATAAGCTAAATATAGCGAGCGATATAAACAGAGCCAGCCACAGAGCAAACACAGGGCCCCCGAGCCCTTGCGCTGGCTCTCACGCACGGAGCTTTCCACGGCCCCTCCCTCAGCCTCACTCTTCCTAGGTGGATCTCCCGATCCTGGGTCAGGGGCTGGCTCCGTTGGGGCCCTTCTCACTTTGAGGCAAATCTCTGGCGCTTCTGCCCAGGGCTGTCCCATCTAAAGCCTGAACAACCTCACTAGCCACAGTCTGAGTTCCAGAAAACCACTCGCTAACTAGGAGAGCATCCCAAAGGGTCAGGAAGCAGTCAGGGGCTCCCTGAACAAAGGATCCAGGCTGCTGGCAGAGAAGCTGCTGGTTAATACACCGAGCAAACGCCACCCGGGGTACAACTGCCCAAAGAGCTCCCCAAGAACCACAAGGGCGGGTCCAAGAGGAATCTTAAAATCACCTTTTCACACATTTCCGAAAGTGTTAAACTGTCCATTCCTTACTAGTGATACGTCTTACAACGGCGATCTGCCTCTGAAGTCCAGGATCCTTTCTGTGATAGTAAGGCAATTAAAGATGATTTCAAATGAATGGCTGAATTTTTTCCTCAGATTTCATTTTCCAGAAAGTCTAATTACTATTCAGGGAATTTCCAAATCTGACTGTTCTGAATGGAGCTATCCTCCTTGTCCAAGTGAAAAAGTCATTTCCAACATGAAAAATTCCAAGCCTCCTTCAGCTTTACTCGACAGTCTACAGTAGCTACTAGCTACGCTTTTGGAGGATTCTTGGCTTCTTAACTTTGCCCCAAAATATCACCACAAATTTAAAGATGGTGCCACTGGGACAGGAGACTTTCTCAAGGGGAGGGGACACTAGCTCCCGCTGTCCATTCTTAGGCCCACGCAGGAGGACACGGTGGCAGAGCAGCCATGAGCTCAGGGAGGAAGCAAACCCGCACCTCCGCTTTCCTGCGGGAGCTGGACGGACACGGAAGGACAGGGGCACACTCACAGAGCCTGGGTCAAGGCAGACCATTGTCAATAGTCTGTAGCCGGTCAGATCACAGAAGGGCAAAGAGGAAGGTAGAGTATGTGACCAGGTTTGGAAAGGCTTTTACCTCCGTTCACTCTGCCTCCCAATCTCTTATAGCTTTGAAGACCCTCGATGACACTGATGTGCCTCCAATTCCTTGCTGGTTGGTCCAGAGGAGCCACCTGAACTGATCACTTGAGTAACCAGGCTAGACCTGCATGCTCTTTGGGAAATATGGCCAGCACAAACTGACCCGGGAGGATCTGCAACCTCTTCAATCTGGGGTTACATGGATGCACTCAGTTTGCCATATTGCCATCAACATGCTTCCCATCAGCATGCCCCCGCCCTTGGCTTCACATCTCCTAGGGAGAAGATCCTACCAGATACAGAAAAAGAATAACTGAGGTTCAAACCAGGGACAAAAATCAGAGCTCAGTGCCTTCAGGACTCAGGGGTTAATGGCCACTGTCTGGCTCCGTGAGACCATCCCAGATCCAAGGAGAAAGAAGATGGCCAGGCCCCTTCAACTTCTTCTTACCTCTTGGGTTATCTTTCGTGGCTCTCCAGACTCAGCCTACAATGACGGGGAACTACCACCACTCACAGAGGAGAGTGTTCGAGGCCAAAGCCCGAAGCTGAACAGTGTGGACACTGATTTCTCTGGACAAGACTGGCGGAGGAGAGCGCAGGGAGCAGCGTGATGGGCGGGGTGGGAAATGTCAGGGCTGGTTGGGATGACAGAGACAGAAGTAAGCAACCATTAAAGAATGCCTACTGATGTGCCTGGAGTTTCCACAGGTATTAACTCACTTAACCTTCCAAGTAAAATTCCGTGGTATTAGTTCAAATTTACAGACGAGGAAATAGGCTTGGCGAGGTCAAGCGACTTCCCAATGGCTAGTAGGTGGCAAAACCGGTGTTCAAACCTGGGCTTGCTGACTTTATACTCAAAGCGTACAGACTTAATCCTAAACCCCTTCCTCCCTAGGGCCTCGGTCTCCCTGCCTGTAAAGATGAGGGAAGGAAATAGGGAAAGGAGATAAAGGGTAAGAATGCAAGTGTGTCAACAGTACTTTGTAGATATGACATATTAGACAGTAGTTATGTAATAATGAAGTTCAGAAAATGACTAACTCCTTAAAACTAGGCGCTAAAAGATGCTATGTGTGCAATCACCCTAGCCCTTCCCCCAGGATGAGTGAGCTCTCCCTTCCTCCACTCCCTGCTCCCCGTGAGCAGGGTTAATGGGGAGGAGGGGGTGAAAAGCAAGAGGACTCCACAGAGTGTCTTTGTAATGGAAAATTTAGGAAAACCAGCTCTGGGCTAGAAAGGCTTCGTCAGCCAGCCTGTGGACACAGACAGAAACAGGTAGCTGGCAGGTGGATGAGGGGCAGAGAGCTCAGGAGCCAGTACAGGGTGAGGTGCTGCACAGGGAACACCTTTTTACAGTCAGTCCTCCTGCTCTATCCTTCCTCCTACCCCAGCTGGGTGGCTCTGCTGGGAGGACGGCATCCTGCCCAGGGGTGAGCCATGCCCTCACAGAGGCAGCCCCTGGCTGGGGGAAATGATGCCAAGCAGCAGAGCAGGGACAGGCCCTGAGATAAGGGCCGCCCTCCTCCTGTTCAGGACTGAGTCAGGAAGAAAGGGCGCTGGGCTGTGGGCTAGTCCTATCCTCCCAGCCTGCCCCAGGCCTCCAGGAGCTCCCAGAGGAAAGGATGTTCCGGAAAACACCTGCAGAGAGAGACCAGGTCTGTTGAAAATGAAAAAGCTGCCTTCCAAACAGTACTTTAGACGAGTCTAGGAGACCCAGAGCCACCGTGTCATCCATCAGCTCCAGCCCCAGGACCCGACGCTGGGAGCTGGACTCAACCATGTACCGTACAACCAGGCTAGAGTGAATGGGCAGGAAGGAGGCCAAGAGAAAGAAAGCAAGAATCAGAGTGAGTCCACACATGGACTGAAGGGGAAACGCTAAGCCAAGTTTCCACAGAAAAATCAAAGGACAGACTAGAAACGAGTTTGGGGCCAGAAGAGGAGGCCAAGCTGCCTTATTATCTAAGCACAGGGCCACCCTCCCCTCCTGGTCTCTGAGGGACGAGGAGAGCCCACCAGGGCCAGTTCTAGACCCAAATTCCCCTCAGAACTCCTTGGCAGAAGGCACTGACCATATTTAACTCGTGATGGCCTGATCTCAGGAGACCCAACGTCCATTTCTCTCCCGCCCCTGGTGCTGGCAACGGTTTGGTCCTTGAGTCAAACCTGCTACCATCAATAGCTCTCTTCAGGCCACCTGGCGTGACCCATCTAACCTCAGGGCCTTGCCCAATCACGATGCTATTTATCTTCCCGATTTCCAGACAAACACACACACGCACGCACGCACGCACGCACGCACGCACATATTTATCCTTCGGGCCAGGGACACTGTCCCAAAAGGGGGGAACGTGTTCACTTCCAGGTGGCCTGCCTCTGCTTCACACGACGGGCATCCTAGCACAGATCAGCCGCAGCCCTCTCCCTGCCTTGGCAGCCCTCCAGAGAGTCAGCCCAGAGCGGAAGGGTTAAGGGCCTGGGGGCCGCCCAGACAGGGCTGCCGAGCCGGGCAGCCTACAGCCCGTGGCACAAGGGCTCCTTCAGCACGAGCCTGCCAGCCGCCGCCTTTGTTGACGGACTCTGCCACATGCTCCACTGACACGGGATGCCCCGCCCTGGCGGTGCTGGTGCCAGGCTGCCGGCCAAGCACCAGGCCGAGCGCCCGGCCGCCGGTCTGGAGAGGCTCCCCGAGGTACGCTCTCCAGAGTCCCAGGCCCCGGTTCCCAGACAGAGACAATGAGGAGCAGCCTCCCCAGCTGGAAAGTGTCAGGTTACAACCGGTTCCACCACTCCCCCTCCCCCCCCCTCCACCCCCTCGGCCCATCCCTCGGCCTTGGTTATTAGGTTCCCATTGCACCTCAGCCAGACACCCCCAACTGCCCGGGTCCCCTGCAGCACCCTGAACATCTTCCCCTGAGGTCCGCACGGGACAATCTCTCAACCCTGGCCTCAAGAAGACACAGTGTGTCAAGCACGGCTGCAAAAAGCCTTCCCGTTTTCCAGGAAGGAGGGATCGTGGCATCTCCCAGCAAACCACCTTGTGGAGCCTGAGCTGAAAGTGGGCAGATAACCAACTTGGAGCTCAGAGGTGAGGGCGGGCATACTCCCCCAGGAGGGCCCTTCCGGTCCTCAGGGATCACATTAGTCAAGGCCAAAACTCTGGGACCGTGTTCTTCAGATCTAGCAAGACAAAGCTGCAGAGGCAGGCTCCAGCCAGCCCCCTACCCACCCTCCCGGCAGACTTAAACCTCATCCCCCCACCCCCACCCTCATCCCAGGGACCCGTGCCTACTTGCTGCATTTGAAGCCGATGAAACTGGTCTGCAATACTCTGAAGCTTCCTGGCGATCTGGATCTCGGCTCGGTGGTGTTGCCACTGTCCCTCAGGGGGCTGCTCACCAAGGGGCAAGCCTGCAGGGAAACTGGCGGGGAGAGGGAGCCGGTAGCCAGCATTGCCTGCAAGGACAGAGGGCCCACGTCTCAGCATTCTGCACGGCTGTCCCTTCCTCCCCATGCCTAACGCTCCTGGCAGAGACCCGGGGTTGAGGCCTTATCAGGGCAGTCTGCCAAATTCGGACAACCTGACTCATGAGCAAGTATATAAAAGTTGGTGCCGGGAGGACAGAAGCGAAGGTCCCAGCCCTCCCCTCGGGTTTACATTGGTCGGCAGTGCCGTGGCAAAAGTAACACGTATGGGTGAACTTGCCAACCTTCTGTCCTTATTTACCAAGCTATGCTTGACCATAATTTATTATTCATGTAGTAGCAGGTTGGAGCTCTTCTCTGGAAAAGCACTGGAGGCAGCTCTCCAGAGTTCCTGGGTGGAGCAAAGCAAGGGACAGAGAAAGAGAAAACCAAAACGTGTCTTCGTTTATTAGTGCCGCGGAGGGAGGCTGGTCTCAGTTCCTAAAGCTCTGGGCAGTGGTATAAAAACTAGCGAGAGAAAACTCAGACCCACAGAACAGCCCTGTTCCTCCAGATAGTGCTCCGTACTTACCAAGTGCTGGCAATCGAGCTGCCACTAGGGGCACCCGCCTGCCTCCTCCCTCCTGTCCCTCTTCCCGCCAGAACTGTGGTGCAGGATTTACCCTATGGGCCGGCACCCTCTGGGAATAACTGCAGCATCTCCCCAGTCTGTCCATCAGACTCCGCAAGATAGCCTCTGAACTTTTCCCCTCTCTCCATACGCTGTTGTGCTAAAAGTAGAAAGCAGACTGTGTGTCTAACTCTGCTTTTTTTTTTTTTTTTTGCCAGAGGTGGGCCCACAGCTCATAAAACAAACCATGTAAGCCCACAAATGAAGGGGTCTTGTCCTATTGAACCTTGGAAAAAACCCCTCTGCTGGCATGGAGCCTAGGCACTCTCTACCTCTTTTTCCAGTTCCCCTTCCAAGCCCAGAAAGTCCCAAGTGACAAGTGGGGGGCCACCTTCTGCCTTCAGGAACCTTCTGTCCCAGAACCAGCTGGGTTTTCCCCTTCAGTGGCAATGGCCAGTCACAGATCCCCCCAACCTTCTCCAGAGCAATGTCAGTTACGGAAGGTGCATCACTGCCAGCACACACAAAAGGCTGCACCCCTTTACTGGCCACAGGATGTAAAAGCTGAGGCTCAGGTACCCTCTCCAACCCAAGGAGACACCATGGACCCAAAGACCCCTCCAGAGATGGATGAAAGAGCAGAAATAACGGCAGGGCAATCTGTCCTTCTTGGCGCCCGAGGAGCACAGGTAAGGAGCAACGACAAGCAGAAAGGCAGCAGGTGAGAGGCGAGGAAATCAATGGCCCCTGCTGCTTGGTTTGAGGAAGGAAACAGCAACAGGCAGGTTTGGGAAGGGAAAGTCCCCTCTTTTCCCCACGTCTCTATGGGAGGAGTCCTGAGGCTAAGAGCACTCACCATAAAAGAGTCGCTGGGGTTCCTCGGTCACCCCACAAGGCAGCATGACACCCTGGCTCGGGGAGGCTGGACTGAGGGTCTGGGTGGCCTTGTCTTCCTGGCTGATGGGTCGAAGCCCAGGGCCACAGCAGTGGGTGAGAGGGAAGAGCTGCAGGCGGCTGAGGGGGCAATCCAGCTGGCTCTGGGCAAACAGGTCAGCGGAGGGCAAGCTCCCAGGCTGGGTCCCCAGCTCATCCTCTGGCTGAAACACATCATCCTCCAGCTCCTCCACACACTGCGGTGGATCCATCTCCCCTGTTGGGTGTAAGGAGGCATCCAGGATGCTATCCCTTCCAGGCCAACCCTGCAGTGGGAGTCCTAGAAGGGGTCCTCCCCCGCCCCTCCTTATCTCTCTTCTTATCAGTGGAAGTGGGGCCAGGTACTGATGACTGATAACCCCGGTGATATAGTGCTGCCAAGGGTGACACCTGTCCCCAAAGGTGGACTGCCTCACCTCACTGTTCAGGGACTCTCCATACTTCTTCCTGAGCTCACCCACGGCCACCCTCCCCTCAGTCTCTTCTTCAGACCCAGCTGGCCACAGTCATGAAGTCTGCTCCCAACTCTGAGCAACAGCAGGGGTGTGATCAGCTGCTATAAGCACCCAGGGTACCTGGGGAAATGTCAGTGAGACTAGCCTCTGAGAGAGAGCAGAAGGGTGCCGTGACTGACGGGACACATAGTGCTCACAACACTCACTCTCTCTCTCTCTCTCTCTCCTCTCTCCCTCACTGCCCTGAGGAGTAACCAACCACCAAGTCTAAACTGAGCCCCAGGCTCAGCAGTAAAAACAAAAGCTAGCCAGCAATCCTAGGACAGCCAGGTTCCCTCCAAACCTGCTAGGCCCTGCCCATCTGCCCATCTACTCAAGTCTCCACCCCCAGCTTGCTCAACACAACAAACAGGCTCCCTGGTGTGGTAAGAGCGTGTCCTGGGAGAGAAAGGGAAGAGAGACCCGAGTTAGTCACTGCAGCTGCCCTCTCGGCACAGTAGAGCTGTCTGCCCACCACAGCTTGGCCTGGAGGGTGGGTCCAACATCCAGCAAAGTAGCCGACCTCCTCCGGCTCAGCCTCCTCACTAGTCTCCCTGATTGCAAACCTCTTCCCACAGCCTACCACTCCTGCCAGCGCTGAACCTTAGATTGGTACGATCCGCCTCACAGGAGGAAGTGAAATTCTGCCCTTTCTCTGTGACCTCACTCACTGCCAAAATACTCAGGTTGTTGATATGAGTTTCTTGGTAATAAAGAAGTTCCTCTTGCTCCACCTGACTGATGACTCTTGGAAGTCTGACCTTGGAGCCAACCAGCATCCTGAGTTCCCAACCCAGCCCCCTCCACACTCACTAGGAACCCCACTGGAGCAGCTAGAAGCAAAAACCACCTGAATAGTTAAGGATACAGAGAGACAATGTTTGTCACTGCCAGATTCAATTAGAGATCCCCTGGGAATTCTGCTTCCCAGTCTCTTGCCTTTGAAGAACAAGCCAAATGGTCTGTGGGTTGGTAAAATACTTAAGAAATCGCAGTTAAATTCAGAAGTCCTGGCTTTCCCAAACTCAAGCCGTCTGTCTCTCTGTCCCTCCACCCCACCTAATCCTGAAGCTGTGGTCCTCTCCCTGCCCTCTTCCCTGGAGAGTGAGGAGATGGCCACTTGGATTATTCTTTGAATATTGTTTCCCAAAGGTGGCGGGGGCGGGGAGGGGGGGGAAAGGAGGGGGGAAGGTAGAGAAGGGGGTAGAACTCCAGCTTATCAGCGCCAGGAAACAAAGTTTCCTGCTGAAAAGACCAAAGGCTGTCCTGCCAGTCAACTGGCAGGGGCTCCCCTCCAGTCCCTCAGCCTCCTCTCATCAAGCCGGCAACCCCAACCTCAGAAGGGGCCCCCAAAGCCAACCACAACCAGCACTCATTGTCTTGTTTCTTCCTTTGAAGCCTGTCACCTCCCCTCCCCCTCCCCCTTCCAGCAAAGCCCCAAAGTTCAACCCTTTCTTGGACTGGACAGGGGGGCGGGGGGAGGTACGGCCAAAGGGTGTGGCTCTGCCAGCCAGGGTACCCTCCCTACTCTCAACAGGAACTGCAGGTGGGAGCCTCGGAGGGGTGCTGAGCAAGGTCAAGCATAAACTAGGATACAGTAAAGAGAACCTCTCCTTCCCGTCCCCAGACCTGAAGAGGTGATGCCCAAATGGGAGGAGGGGCACTTCCTGAGAGCACCGCTAGGGAAGGCTTTTCTCCTAGCGAGGGATACTGAACTGAAGCCCGCCCGTAGCCATCCCAGTCCCTACGTGCTCTAACAGGGATGCTCAACTTAGACTCCTCCTCCCAGGAGAAGGCACTCTGAACCTGGACACGGGCTAAACTCTGGGGACGCGCGCGCACGCACACACTCACACCACCCACCCACACACACACACACACACACACACACTCACACTCACTCACTCACAGCAGACCTGGGTGACTCCAGGGGAGAGTGTCGGCCTCCGAGTCGTGGTGCCAGGGCTCCGCGCCAGGGTCCAGCGTGACGAGCTCTCGGGGGCTTGGCGCCCAGACGCGATCGGGAAGGAGAGGAAAGCCCTGCTGTTAGGGAGAGGGGCCTTCAGACTCCGCGGGGAGGCAAGCAGGACGCCCCACAACTTCCTGCCCTGCCCCAAAGTGAGATCCGGAGACCGGGCTGTTCTCCGGCGCCGAGGTCGGCTCGGCAGCGCGCGGCAGGCTCCCTTGCCCACCTGGACCCAACTCCCGGGACCTCTCCAATGCTACGACCCCAAGTTGCCTCGGGGAGCAGCGCCCCTCGATGTGGGTTCTGCACCCCGTTCCCACAGCCCCCAGCGCCCCAGTCCTGCATGGTCACCCCAGATACCCGCAATCCAACCCTCCCCGGGCCCCCACGCACAGCGCGACTCCTCTCCCCGCTTCGCCGCAGAGGCGCGATCCAGCTCCGCGCGGCTCCCGGGCGCCCGGCGCCCTCCGGGCTGCTGCGTGGCGCGGGGGGCGCGGGCAGGGGCGGCAGCCGCGGCGGGCGGGTGGGCGCGGGAGGAGGCCACTCCGCACCGCGCGGTATTGTTTCCAAAATACGCCCGCTCCGGGCATCCCGCAAACAGCTGATTAGGCCCCGCCCCCCTCGCGTCACGCCGGCGGCTGGCCAATGGCGAGCGGAGCCCCGGTTCCGGGCTGGGCGGCCGCCAGGGATGGTCAAGAATGTGCGAACCTTCCGTGTCTCCAAGGGGCCGAGCAAAATTCCTACCCGCGCCAGAAACGCACCAGCGCCAGAAACGCAACTGGTGCGCCGTCCTCCGCGCAGATTCTGTTCCCAAACGCGAGCTCGGGAATCGCCAGAGCGTCACCCTTCCATGAGGAACGAGCGAGCGAGGGGGCGCCCAAGTGACTTTTGTCTTCTTCCTCGGGAATGGGCTGAATAAAAACGGCTCCAGACAGGGAGGGGGGAGCGGAGAGGGGCTGAGAGCTTTTAGACGCGGCTGGCAGCGTCCAGTGGGTGCAGGTGCAGGCGCCCGTGGGTCCTGGCCTGGAGGCAAAGCACCCTCTGCTTGCCGGGCGAGTCGGGAGAAACGCCAGCCCCAAGTATAGAGGAAGCCTGGGAACACGTGTCTGAAGCTGACACTGAGTGGCTTTCAGATCAAACACATCCAAAGGGGGTCTCGGATGAAGGCGAAGCGGCTGCGGCCGGACCTGGACGAGATCCACCGCGAGCTGCGCCCTCAGGTTCCCTCACGGCCCGGCCGGACGCGGGTGCCCAGCCAGACCCGGACCTGCCCGGGGGCGGCCTGCATCGCTGCCTGGCCTGCGCGAAGTACTTCATCGATTCTGCCAACCTGAAGACCCACTTCCGGTCCAAAGACCACAAGAAAAGGCTAAAGCAGCTGAGCGTGGAGCCCTACACTCAGGGAGAGGCTGAGAGGGCAGCAGGCATGGGCTCCTATGTGCCCCCCAAGCGGCTGGCAGTGCCCACAGAAGTATCCACGGAGGTCCCTGAGATGGACACGTCGACCTGACATGGCCCGAGATGCAGGGCAGAGTGGCCGCCCATGGACTGTGACGCAGGGCTAGGCCGGGAGAGACTGTGCCATCCTTCTTTGGCCCTGAATTTGCAAGTGGATGGCCTCTTCTGGGTGCCTTCCCCCTCAAATAAAGGACCTGGATAAAGAAAAACAAAACAAAAAAAAACAAACAAAAAACAAACAAACAAAGGGGGTCTCGGGTCCTCTTCTTGACTGGGCGAGCACTCTTACTAAATAAGCATCCGGCCGGCGGAGGAGAGGCGAGATCAGGGACCGCTTGGGCAGTGGACACGCATCCTCTTTACATCTGCATCCAGAGGCGGTGCTGGTGCTGCCAGGAGAGCAAAGTGTCCTGCAGACGGCATGCCACCGGGAAGGGAGTGTGGGGTTTCACAAACGTTTATTTAGCACCTGTACTGTGCGGGGTGCCAAAAACCGGTGTCTGTCCTCAGGGAGCTTACAAGTTACTCGGAGAAACAGACGTAACAATAATGGGAAGCAGGAGGTAATGTGTTGATTTGGGGATAATGACTGCTAGAGATGCAGAAAAACACAGAATGTGAAGGTGGGAGGCTTTAGGGAGAAGGCTTTTGAGTTAGGCCTTGGAGGATGGGGAAATTTTTCCACATGGAAAACCAGATGAAAACAGTCCAGGCCTAGGAGCAGCAGAATAAAGGAAGCTGGGGAATCTGTCCTGGGGGCAGACTAGAGGATGGGATCGGTAGGTGAACACTGCGATGAAGGAGCAGTGGGCATGGACAGGTAGGTTTAAGTCAGAGTACAGAAGTGTCCTAGAATGCCAGGCAGGGGAATCTGGACTTATTCTGGAGGCAAAGTGGAGCCAGCAAAGGTTTTGTAGAAAATAAGTGACTTGGCCACGCCTGAATTTTAGGAAAGATAAATGAAGGGGCCAGAAATGAGTGAGAGGGAGCCAGTCCCTGTAATAGACCTGATGATTGATTATAGGACTGGTGGTTGTAAACTGGGATGGATTTAAGTGGAGCTGGGACCCGTAGCCCAGAGGAGCCTGGAATCATCTTATACCTTTTTTCTACCCATTTTTTCCCCCCGGCTCCTTCAAAGGGTGCTTCAAAGAGAGCAAACCATAGTGAGCACTATGGTTGCTAGAGTAAAAAAACAACACCATCCCAAAAGGATGGAGAAGAGGGAAAAGGGAAAGACAGGAGACTCCAAGTTGGCCAGCAGCCCAGTCCCCCCAGGAGTTGACAGGCATCCAAAAAAAGAGGTGCTGGAGCCAAAGCGAGTCTATTATTTACCAGGAGGCTTGGCCAAGAGGGAGTGTCAGAACCTGTCATGCCACATGTGGGGAGAGGAGGAGACCGGCCCAGCCTCAGTGCAGGGAGCCTTCACGTTCCTCCTGCAGATCTCCTTCCCCTTCTTCCTCCCATCCTTTCCGGTGGCTTTCCTCGGGGCCAGTGCCTCAGGCTGGCCACTGATGGTGATGGGAAGGACTCAGGGTGAAGAGTGGGACTGAAGGATGAAGCAGCTCTGAATCTGTCCTCTGGGACAGCACAGGCCCCCAAGGGCAGGGGCCTCCTAATTCTCCTGACTCACCCAAGCTGCTAACGCTCCGTCTGCTCCCTCACAAGGTGGCATTGGGTCCACAAGGCAAGGAAGCTGGTAGAGCAGAGTGTTCACCTGGGGTCCGTGTATCTGTCACCCTCACCAGGGTCTCCTCAGCTTTAGGGTCTAGGAACCCCTCAAACTGGCTAACTTCTGCATGAGTTCACACCTACATTTTTTGGAGGGGTGACTCCACAGCTTACAACAGTTTCCAAAAGGGGCCTGTGCCCTATAAAAGGATAAAAATCATCATTGTAGGGCAATGGGGCTGGGGAGCAGAGGGGGTCCCCTTAGTGGGTCTGGGCCGTTTGCAAGATGAAGGGAGGGTCACACCCTCCAGTGACATTTCTCCTAAGACCTCTCTCCCAGGCTTTCCCAGGCCACTCCCTCGGGCTAGTTCTAAAGGACACCTGGTGGCTTGGCCTCCTGTGTTATCAGCCTCTAAGGTCAAGCAGCAGGGGCCCAGCCTTCTGAGCCGGAGGGACCAGAAAAGACTGTCAGGGATAAAGGGGTCAGGGAGGTCAGGAGCCTCACTCCCCACCTCTCATCACTGTCAAACAGACCCCTCCCTCTGGGCCCTTTCTCCCCCGCCAGACAGGGCAGGCTCAGCAGAGACAGGACCTGCGGGGCTAGAGATCTGGGACCGGAGCCCCCTGTCCAGCAGCAGCAGCCGCACACTAGTAACGGAGGAACCCTAGGCTTTTGACTGGGCTCAGAGCAAATGCACACTGCAGCTGCAGCCGCCTTTATTTTGGAGAATTTCCTTACTCCTATTCTCCCTCCCACCAACACTCCCCCCCCCCCCCCCCTGCTTGCCCCAATTTGTTTTCTCTTCTGCTGACTGACCCTGGCTCTAGAGGCGGGCCCCCAGAGAAAGGCAAAGTGTGCAGGCCTGGGAGGGAGGCGGGTCTTCCCCCACAGTCTTGGAGGGATGCAAAGAGTTAAGAGGAACGCTTTCAGCAGAAGAGAAAACCCAGCTCCCAGTAGACAGCAGGCAGGAGCCCTCTCCATTGTTTCACCTGGCTATAGGATTTCTCTCCGAGACAAGGAATGGGCTCTAAAACTCTGGTAACTGGATCACTGGGAAGGGAGGTTTTTTAAAAACCAGCTGACAGCTGAATAATAGGAATTACCAGGCAGGCCGCCCTGGGGTTACTGAGGTTTGTAACTCAACCCCCAGGGAGGGGTTAGATTGGAAACTGATTTATGGGGAAGGTGGGGGTCTCGGTGGGGGAGCCCATAATGCTTGACCCCCTTGCCTCTTAACTCCCTCAAGAAGGGGTCCTGGAGGTAAGAGAGACCAGCAACCCGGGTGTCCGTCCCTTGCTGGACTTGCTCTGTCTGCATGGGAATTAGTACCTCTCTCCTGGAGGGAGGAAGGGAGGGAGGGAGGGAGGGAGAGAGAGAGAAAGAGAGGGAGAGAGAGAGAGAAAGAGAGAGGGAGAGAGGGAGAGAACAGCAGAACAGACAGCAGACAGACAGATTGGCTTCTGCTAATTGGATAAACAAGTGGAGAGACTTGATTTCCCAGTCAATGAGCTCACTATGTGCCAATCACTGGTTCGTGAGACCGAAATAGAAAAAGCAGATACTGCCGAAACCAGTTTGGCTCAGCGGTAGAGCGTTGGTCTGCGGACTGGGGGGTCCCAGGTTCGATTCCGGTCAAGGGCATGTACATTGGTTGCGGGCACATCCCCGGTGGGGGGTGTGTGGGAGGCAGCTGGTTGATGTTTCTCTCTCATCGACGTTGCTGGCTCTCTATCTCTCTCCCTTCCTCTCTGTAAAATATCAATAAAATATATTTTTAAAAAAGCAGATACTAAAGGGAAGACCTTTGGGAACTCAGAAAACTGGATGTCAGGAGAAATGTGGAGTCTGAGGCTGCTATGCTAAAGCCCAGTGGAACCTAAAAGATAAGGTGAAATCCATGGATTATGACATTCAGCACATATTCAGTTTTGTTTGGGGGGAACATTCAATAAATATTTCCTGAGTGAGCAAATGGATGAATGTACATGTCCACATTTTAAAAATATGACTAGCCTGGCTGGTATGACTCAGTGTGTGGAGCATCGTCCCATGCATAGAGAGGTCGCCAGTTCGATTCCTACTCAGAGCACATGCCTGGGTTTTGTGTTTTGGGCTCAGTCCCCGATGGAAGGCATGCAGAAGGAGCTGATGGATGTTTCTGTCTTTCCCTTGCCTTCCTCTCTCTTTAAAATCAAGAAAAAAACATATTTTTAAAATAAGTGAAAAACACCTTCAGTGGCAGGTTTTGCCATGAATTGCATTGTGTTTGCCACTTGGATTGGTTGGCCTTAACCTGAGTTTCTTCTCACCAGCAGATGCCACCAACGCTTTGGTGCCCTCAGACCACCCTCCAGGCTTGGCACATGATGGAGCTATGTCTTTGGAGACACATTTACAGGAAAACTACAAGCGTGGCCCTGAGGGTGGTGCCTCCACTCCACTCCCCGCCACTTCCTGCCCAGCCCAGCCCAG